GGTCGGTGAGATCCGCCCAAAACGGTCTTCTGTGGCAAGTGTCAAAACATTTACAGTTGCCAGGGTAATGTCAAATTGTTGTAGCGGATGTTGTTTCGACCTCTTGGCATACTGAGAGTGCAGTGAATCTGTGTGATCATACTGATCAATTGTCTGGGCCTGCGAGGTCATGACAGTACCATGAAGTTGTGGTGCATCATGTGGGCTTGTCAAGAGGTGCTCATAGTACCAGATCCATGGGAGCTCAGTTCGATATTGCCCGTCTGTGATCCATGGCATCCATGCTGCACAATCCGGTACTTGTTCAGGATGCAATGCCGCATATTTCGCTAGCTGATCAACTAACTCATTTCGGGGATGTTGGCTGTGAGCTTTGACATGCATCCAAGTCAACCTCTGATGAGTGTGCCGTCTTTGCAAGACATGCGCCAATGAGCGGAGGGCAGCCTTCCAATTCGTATGTTCAACAGCGCGCCATATGCCAGCAGTCTGATAGCCGGTGTTCATTGCGTCAAAGTTGAAAGAAATGTCAACCTCAAAGGTGGAGAAAGTGGCTGAAATCCAATCACTCATTTGAATGGCCCAAATAAGAGCCCACATCATCGCAGCATGCTCGCCAATGAAGGCATGTTGGGCAGGAAGTACAGCTTTGCTCATGCATCCTGCAAAAACTGTCGCATGTTCATAATCAATGAAGCACGCAATTCCAGCGCCAACATGCTCCCCAATCTTGGAGCCATCTACATAGAAATGCAGTGCTTCTGGTTTGCAATCTTTGAAGTCAACTGGTGAGTATATCGATTGAAGATGTTCAATGGTGACAGCTTCCAATTGGAGATCGGATGGCCATTCTTCAAGCAGCTCCAAAGGAATATGTCCAAGAATCATTGCACACCATTGTACGCTCGCAAATTCAATGGTGGTTTGATTTGGAGGTGATACACAATCATCGAGTGCAATCGGAATCCCTTGTCCAGGCCGCTGAGTGTGAGCCACCTGCTCAGCTGTTGGGCGCCTGTCAAGGGAGCGTTGCAGCATGTTAGTGAGGTCCTCCGGCTCGTCATTTTCATCTTCTTGTGCTGTGATAGCCTCCCATTCGACTTCAGTTTCACCTGCATCAAAACGTCGCTGTATATCCCTGATTCTTAGCCCATCTCTAAGGCCACAAGCAAGGATTTTTGTTGAAAGCTGCGATCTGTGATGTGGTGGCAGGTCAACACGGACATAGTCGCCATGGTGAATGTCAAAGGGGGCATACATGGAGAGTGAGATCAGCTTCCCATTGACTCGCACAATGCACTGTTGGCGGGCAGCTTTGCAATATGGATGTATCTTCAATTCCTCCAGAAGAACTCTGCGTGTCATGTATTTGCGCATAGTAGTCGCATATCGATGAGTGCTGATGTCTACAGCTGCATGCTCATGGAAAACAATGTCAACAAGGACAATCCTGCGGTTGTCACCTGGTTGTAGGTCAGAGGACCGTTGAACTAATGCAGTGATAGTATTCGCAGCATACAGATCTGGCGGTCTGTACTCCATGACATGGATCTGCTGGATTTCATGGCGCCCAAGTTGCAAGGCATATCTGATGCTACTATGCATGAGTGGCGATGTTCCAATGCGAATACGGGCAGCTGTCATCGGCATGCGCAACATGAAAAGGTGTGCAAAACTTGTGGGTTCAGTGCTGGAGTATGTTGATGCAGTTGAACTTGATGTCTCATCTTCACTCAATGCATCATCATCATTTGCAAATGCTTCTGGATCTTGTGCAATGTCAGGGTTCTGAATGATTTGTCGATCTAGCGGTAGCGCTCTGGGTTGATGTGCAAGTAGGGAGGTCACATCACCACGATCTGCCAGTGGTGTTCTTGGTGGCCTTCGTGGTGATCGACTTCTTGGTCTGCGAGTATGTTGTTCAAGATACTCGTCATCCTCCCAAAGAAAGTCAAATGGATATTGTTGGATTGGCTCATCAGGCAGAGGGCGCACATGTAATACAATTGATGCTCCGTGTCTAAACATTGTAGCAGGATGAGGTGGATCCTGCACATGTTGCCATCCATAGTATCCTTCGATAGGCCTGTGCCTCACTTGATCAGGGACTTCAGCATTTTCAATGCAGTCTGTGAGATAGGTTGCTTGCAGACTGAATCTTGCTATCCTCTGCAGTGCCATTGCAGGTGGAGCATGAAAAATTGTTGTGAACAGAGTGGCCCGTTCATGATGTTGTGGTTCTTGCACTACAATGATCTGCGCCACATGATCTTCCCACTCTGCACTGGGTGGCTCAGGAGATACCACATGAAAATGAAGCTCATCTTGTGGGTCAATTTCATTGCGCCACGCCTCAGTGATCATTGCAGTCCAGGTTGTGAAGGCTCCTGTGAGCCTGACCCTCCGATAATTTCGGCATTCTCTCCGATCCTGCCCATGAATAAACCAGCTGAGAACATTGATATACCATTCTTGAGCACGTTGATCAAATTCCCCAAGTTGATGGTGCGTGATGGCAAGTTGCTGAATGTGCAGAGGCTGGTTTGCAAGAGCATGTTCTTGAGGTGCTGGTGCCCCATTGTGTAGTTGGTCTTCACAAACCCGGTCGTATGCAGATCTCATGTGATCATCAGTGGAGTGACATCTTCTTGGTCTGCTTGTTCCTGTGGATTTATCAATCCAAAAATCAGGTCTTGTTCTGTTGTGTTGTTCGTGAGAAAAATCCCCAACCTCTTCCTCAGGAAAGTGAAAATAATCCACAAATGAGGAGAAATTCACTGCACGCTTGCTTGTAACCCTGTCTCTAAAAGGCTTGAGAATCGGCAAGGTCCATGTGCAGGAGGTCAAAGGGATATCATCGTTGAAATTGTGATTCCATGTGTCACATTGCATGGAGAGAGTGAATGCTCGATGCAGGGCCATAAATGGAAAATCACATTCATCATCATTGAAAGTTTTGGAGTGAAGTGGTAGAGGTTGATAGCTATCATTTGAGCATGCTGCACAACTGATTCGATACCAGTCATAGGCCTCAGCTCGCATTCCAGCATCCTCTTGCAGCTGTGAGGGTGGCTCACGATGGTCTTTCCGAAGACAAGCTCCATCGATGCCAAGCGTCACTTGCCACCAGAGCCATATGGCTCGGTAGAACGTGGGCGTTTTGACGCTCGTTCTGCACTTGTGTCCATGGCATTTTCCTCGTCGCTGGCAATTTCTACCACTATGGATCGATCTGCTGTTTTCAGGCACTTCGCAAGGAGCTCGTGCACTTGAGATCGCAGAGAATCTTCCTCCACATCCACAGCCGCCTCCGTGTGCTCTTCCTCCTCGATTGCAGACTCCTGTAGATCGGTCGTGCGATCTGCTGCAGCCTCTGCTGTGAGCTTCTGCAAGTCGTTGCGAGCAGTCTGGATATTTCGGTGTGCAATGCGGATCTTGTTGGAGTAATCCTTTTGTTGGGTATCGAATGCCTCTACCTGCTTGGTCAAGGTCTCGATCAGTGATTTCATATGTTTCATCCAATGAGACTTGTGCTTGCTTTGCGCATCCAGCAGGTTTCTCATCTCGCTTCTGGTTTTGTCCAGATGCTTGGTGGCCTTGTTCATGGCTGAAGACAGCTGTCTTCCACTCAGTAGGTCGTGCTTCTCCACAACCCTTCTGACGTTCTCCGGCATGTCTTTGCCATCTGGATAGGCCTCTCTGATTTCCTTTGCAAACTCTGCTTGTGCTGATGCCATTGCCGAAGAGGATGTTGCGCTCTCCTTGTATGGAACAGCTTCCGGCTTCCACGGAGGGGGAAGCGTCATGGCTGCATAAGGTGGAGCCTTGTTCTTCTTGGGTCGACGTCGTCCCCGTGTCTGTGGTTTGTTGGATCCACTTCTGCCACGGGATGTGTGCGTTTCCCAATCCCAACTGTTGTATTGCTCCTTCTGTTTCACATGTGGTGATCTTCCCCTGCTCGACTGCCGGGAGGAGTCTCTCTCCGGTGGATGGAAGGTAAGATCCTGGACTCTGTCCCAACGTCCTCCACAGTGTGGGCAATGCGCATGCTTTCCGCTGAGGATCTTCCAACACCTTTTGCATCTCCATGACTCCGTCATTTCTCGTTGTTCTTGGGCAAGAAGTTTGCGCAAGTGAGCCAAATGAGGTCGGTCCACAGAGTGATGCAATGAAAGTGTTTGTATTGCCTGCTGAATACGTCCAGTGGTGAGATGAATGTAGCCCTGTTTGTGAAGCCACAATTGTCTCCGAACCAGCGCACGTTGTCGCCTTTGTCGACGGCGATTTGCAGCAAATTTCGTAATGATTGCTCGCAATCACAATGAAATAGAGGAACAAATTGGAATATGGCATAAACTTGTCCAGTGCTTCGACGAGGAAAGTCAGGGAGCTCGCTCAACCAGGCCAGAAATATCAAAAATTCCAAAAAAGTCCTGTAGAATTGTCCTGTTTATGGCAGTGAATCAGGAAACCCGTCTCTGAGGCAAAAACCTCAAAGGAAAAATCGAAGGGCTCGAAGACCAGGAAGTGAAGTGCAGCGACAAAGTCCAGCAACACCGATGTCCTGGTAGATCACCAACGATGTAGAGCTCGTCAATGAGCAAAGGCGGTATCCCCTGCACAGTGGGACAGAGCGCAAGTGGGCCAAGGCAGCTGCTTACCAAATCGCCAGCAGCGCCCGCGGATGCTATTGCTCGCACCCGCTAAGATCAGAGCGTCCCTACTCGCAGCCAGGGGGGAAATTCTTCCTGGCTAACGAGCTTTCAGCCCAAACCTTTGGGGATCTCCCACTGACTTAAGAAACCTCTACCAACTCTACCATGACCATTCTTGGTTGATAGCTTTCCCTACTAGTTTTAGTAATCCCCAAAGAATCCAGGTGATAGAACCTATACTATGGCTTATTAGCAGTATAGTCCTGGTTGGTTGATAGTTTTCCCTACTATTATAGTTATAATAATCCCCAAGAAGGCCCCAGGTACCACTGGGAACGTCGGCTCCTGCCCCTTCGACCTGGAATGAGCCAGGCCATTGCTGATCAGCGCCAGAGAGAGCAAGTCCACCGAGGCCAGGGCCTGGGTACATGGGGTACCCCCAATTTTCACGGGCTGGTCATGTGATTTTTCATGGCATTTCATGGGAAAAGTGGCGGAAAATCACCAACAAATGGGGATTTAATGGCTGAAAACCCACCATGAAATGGGGATTTGATGGGACTGATGAACAGGAGTTTGTGGATGGGTGGGCTCAAAACCACTTTTCACCATAGAAAACGGCTGAAATCTATGGATGTCCATCCCCCGAAAAATGCTAGGGCTAACGGTATTGATCCATAGCCACCAACTTTGACCGGGCCAACCACCCCTCGGCCTGTGGGTCAAAGATCCAAGCAACTTCGGCATATGCGGCCTGGCGGTCACAGCACTGAACACTACGGATTCCCCAACGTCTTTTTGAAAAGGCCAGGGACACATAGATTTTGGATGATTTTGGAGTTCGAGATAAGTCTTTTGAGGATCAAAGAGTCCAAGGTTTGCCTTTCGCGTATGTTGCATGTTTGGCTCGAGTTTTGGGGAAAGGCTTCATGCTTGATCCGAGAAGCTTGCTGAAACGGCACATGTTTGTGACACAATGCCATTTTCACCGGTTTCTTCAAATTTTGATGTTTTTTGTTCTATCTTCTGTGGTTGCAGTTCACTGATGAAAAAACTGCGGAACCCGACGCCCGACGCATTCTTGTTGATAACTTCGCTATCCTCCCCTTTTCGCAGAGTTCATGCTTGAAAGTTTCATGTTTGTGCCATTGGAAAGCTTCGTCGCATCTTAAATCCACATTGATTCCACATTCTTGCAGGTGAAATTCCATTTTTTGGGGCGGTAAAATCCACATCTTCAGATGAAAACCCTATTTTTTGCTGGTAAGACCAAAAAAAATACATCTTTTTCGGAGCCTCGAACCAGGCACCACCCAGGCTGGCGTGAGACCTGGCAGTGATGCCGTTTCCTTCATTTCCCTATGGCAACGTCTACGAGAACATAATCATCACAAACCATTCAATATCATGCCTCACCTGGAGATGTGTTTCCCAATGACTCCCTGCAATTTTCGCCTGGTAAGGATGGTCCGTTCCGAGCAGACGCTCAGATGCCTTACGTTGGAAGCTCTGGTCCTCCCGGTCTCCCCGCCCCTTTTCATCCCTGAACAACAAAACTATCACAGATGTCTTCTGGGATTTTATAATTTTTATATGATATTTTACGATGATAAACTGGGATGGTTAAAACTCCTGAACCTTTCTGTGGGATTCAAAAGTTGCAACTCCTCATCAAAACACTACATCCCACCCCACTGGGAAATCCACAAAGTCAAACCGTTATCCCCTGTTTTTCAGAACAAAATTAGCAACATGAACACTTCATAACACTTCTTTCTATGGCTTGACTTTGCCAGCTTAGATTAGCAAAAAACTTTCCACAGATCCATCGCACATCGAGGCGCAGAACTTCCTCTGACTCAGGAAAGGTTAGGAGAACCTCCTGCTGAGCATCAAAAGCTCCTGGAGATCTCTGGAAGTCTTCGAAAAAAACGATGGAACTTATGGAATCAAGGAATTTCTCGTGGTTGGTTCATTGGTTCTGAAACTTTGTGGCTGTTTCTTTCACTGTCAGATTGGGGGCTGCCTGGAGCATGAGTCGATGATGGTCCCTTGCAGCAAAAGAAAGACCAAAACGAGCTGGTTTTGGGCCCCTGGCCATGTGCACTCTCACCGTGAACCTTCACTTCAGATCGACACCAGCATTGCATGATGGGTCCATTTGAAGCGAAAAACATGTAGCATTCCCAGGCAGATCCCACCCTGAAACGGACCATTCCATTCTGGAGCCGAGCCGACCACAAGGGCACATTGAGGGACCCCAGCACATGGATTGCTACATCTTTGACCAAATCTGGGTGGAGTTGTTTTCCAAGCCGGCAATTTTTCGCAACTGGAAATGCCAAAGTAGATGTGTGATATCAACATCCCACCAGGGTCATGCCAGGGCATGGAAAGCCACGCTGCAACTTTCATTGGCTCATAGTGGATTCACCCACAAGGAATCCACTGCTTTTCACCGCAAATCTGTCGGCTGGATGATCCCCTACATGGCACTCCCCCAACACCCAATTTGATTTGCCATGTAGGGGAGTGCCAATTTGGTGCCATTTGACTTAATGAAGGTGGGAGTTTGACTTAATGATCCCTTAAACTTCCCACCTTCATTAAGTCAACGCTTTCAAAGCATCCTCCTGCTTAACAAGTTCCAAATTCCTGGCTTATTCCATGTACAACTGGGCGAACTAGCGCCACAAACACTAACCACAACAAAGATGATATCCCAAAGTTTTCTCCATCATCTCAGCACCGTATGCTTGATATACCCCCAAGTCTTGTTGCCAAACATCCCATGAAATCCCAACCTTTTTGATGTTCAAACATCCCACCCCTTGGTTTACCGTCCCACCATCCCTGGCCGGTGTGCCGGTGCAACGGCCGCTCCTTCGCTGGCCGTGTCGGCCATCCATGGCACCGGCAGCTTGCGGGACTTGCGCTTCGCAGGAGCCTTTGCCGAGGCCAACCTGGCCCGGGCATGTCGGACAACTCCCAGCTCGACATGGCAAAACAATGCCATGTTTACCATCCAGTCATCACCATAGATTTATAGGCTATAGGTGGGATGGTTACTGCAGCTACCATTCCCAGTCATGGGTGGTTTATGACATTGTTTTACCCACATTAGTTGTCTGGTATGTTTTTTTCGAGTTTGCTATTGAAAAATGGCCCAGTTACTTCGTTGATTTACCTATTAAAGATGGTGATTTTCCAGTTCGCTATGTTAAATTACTGGAGGATACATTCTCTGATGGAAGAATTCCATCGGAGGAAAAAAAAACAGGTCGATACTCAAGCCCAGCTTGGCGCCCGCTCACGACTGTCTTATATGTTTGTTCACAGGAACCCTAGTGTTCTACAAAATCATAGCTTCTCATAAATTAATTGACTACCAGGCAAAGTCAGACCGCTGTCTTATCAGGATTGTTACCCTCTGGTAAACAAACATAACTATGGAAAATCACCATTTTTAATGGGAAAATCCACTATAAATGGCCATTTTCAATAGCTATGTTAGTTTACCAGAGGGTAACGAGTCATACGGTTTTGTCTGAAATATGGTACCCCCAATTCCAATAGATCAACCCAAAAGAGGTCACTAGGTCAAAATAACCAAACATCTCAATACAAGTACGTCGACCTCTCTATACAGTGTACACAGTACTGTATATATTATATACAATGCCATATGTGTTTATATATTCAAATATATATATATACACATATATATAATACACATATATATACATGTATATATGCCATATATATAGATAGATAGAGATGTGTAGCGTACATCCCATCCTGCGTCTCCGCCTGTCCAGCTCATGCTGCGGAAAGCTCCAGGGCCAGGCAAAGCCCCGCAGTTCGAAGGCCTTCGCAAGCCTGGTGCCCGCGGCCGGCGCTTGGACGGGGATTTTCAACGCGAAAAATGGGAAAAAGGGTGAAAAATTGAGGAGTTCACGCAGAAAAGATGGAAAATCTGTGGTTGAAGCCATCCAAAATACGGGGGTAATGGGAGTTCATGGGATTGAAAAATGTTCTGGTGAGAGACATTGCTCGTCCGGAAGATCCACTCAAGATATCCAGCAAGATGGCTCACGTTAGATTCGGAACAAATCAAAACAACGACAGTCGAATGAAGATCAAAGTGGCCTGTACGCTGTACGTAGCGCTCACCCCACCATTTCCATTCATTAAAATTGAGGAAACATCCCAACCCTTGAGCCCGGACCATAGTAAACCCAACAGCAATTACGGTAATCACAACCCCCCAATATGAAACACCCCCTTAGAAGCCATGGTTTAGTAGGACATTTGCACATCATTGGGACCATACCATGGGGGTGTTTAATATGAATGGGGGATGGGATACACCTAATGAGACCCCCTCTTCCTGGCTCCAGGTTGCCCTTGTCGGAGCAACATCCCCATGAGCTAAGGAGAACGGTGGAGAGCAAACCATGTATAGCTTCAGGTCAACATGGGCTCAACGTACTGTCTACCGAATTTGTTGGATGCGTTATCTTTGACATATTAACTTAGCATTGTTTTTTTGCTTTCATGTAATTCCTTGATATATACCCTCCGGTCATCAAACGCGGCAACTGAACATCCACCCTTTTTTTGGGTTTCCTAACATGGGGCTCGCGCCAAATCATCCAGAATTAGAACATTCTCGTATTGAAACCTATGGTCTTGGGGGATCCCCATTTTAAGAACCCCCATTTATAGACATCCCAGTGAAGTCCCCGGGAGAACTGGACCAAGCCCAAGCCGGCAGTGGTTTTTCGAGTGTGGATTTCATGGGATATCCCATGGATATCCTGGTATTTAATGGAAGATCAATGGATATGACGGGAGAATAGAATCCTAACAAACAGTTTCACCCTGAGAATCACCCATTTTTTGGAAAAAAATGTCTTCCACACCCATGGCGGGGTCGACATAATCGATTTGTTAGTTGGGGCTCTAAGATATTCTAAGTCCCTTCAATTTTTTTGAAAAAAAGAACTGGTTGCTACATCCCAACCAAAAAACTCCCAACAATCACAGCCAACCTCTGCAGTTGCTTGGTGTTTGGGCCCAGCAGAATGGGCCGCTTGGATGTCTCCATGGCCATGCCAAGTCGCAAATATCTCACCTGGATCCAGCGATGGGAAGTTGTATCGTGGCCTATCTTTGATAGGCCCTGCTGTTGAAGCTGCCTAGGTTATAAGATATCCTCATTTGGGGTCCTAAAATGGGGGTGTCCCAAAACAATGGGATTCGATACTAAGAGGGTCTAATTTGGGGTACCCCTTTCTAGGAAGCCACCATTTAACGGCAAAAGATCAGTTCGTCCTAAACTATCCAACGTTGGCCCAGCGTTTTCATTGGGATTTGTTCCAATTTGCATCGCGTATCCCATACGTTTATCATTTCGGCTGGGCCTTATGCTGGATTCTTGCCTGCAATTGTTCCGCTTGCCCAAAGTAGCTGAATGTGCTGAAACCCTAAGTAGGGAGTTTTCATCACACCAAGGAGCTAGGTAACCACGTGCCATCGCTGCCTAATCACGGATCTGTTCATGGGATGTCCAGTTGTGTTCAGTTGATTAGTTTCAATTCCGGATTTAAAAAAAAAACATGGATTTGCAACATGTTTCGGTGATGTCTCTTGAACAGCAAAATCACCCCAATTCACCGTAAGCAGAATTGATGCCAAGCAAGAGATTCGATTCCTTGCTAGTTCCAACCCATCTGAAAAGTATGAGATTGGGCCATTCTCGTGGCAAATGGGGGCACAAAAAAAAAAGGGAAATCAAACATGGCTGCGAAATCCCCGATCAATAGGCTTTTTGAATGGGAAATGCGTCTATAAATGGATGAGTGTTCCATTGCCATGACTGTCAGAGCGTAAAAAACATTTGGAACCACCAACCAGAAAACGAGTTCTTGAAGAACCTATGCCTACCATTGCATGGTCCCAACTTGGAGCAGTTTCCGGTTTGGTTCCAGGGGTACTACCATGCACAGTCCATGATGAACCAAGTCTAAGAGATGTTTCGTCAACAGATAGCACAACGAAATTCTGATCCATGGAGTGTGAACTGTCCCATGTTGAACCTATCATTTATAATGAGATAGCAGAAAGAAGTCTAGCCGCATCACGCCGCAAGGAAGGTCAAAACTTCTCCATCGATGTTCATATCGATGGGTGAAAATTGTGATACCAATAGGCCTGCAAATTTGCTCCGTCCTTTTTCTGTAATGTTGGTAAAACAATGATAAACCATCCCCAATTTCACCATGAATATGTGGCATATATAAACCATTCCCAAATGTGTGGTTTAGAATTGTTTTACCCCCATTATTCAACCATTCCTTTTGGGGGTGATTAGGTTTGAGCTATAGCCAAGTGTAAATTCCACATGTTCCGTGGAGAAAATACTTTTTCTTCTTCTTCGTTTTCTTCTTGTTCTTCTTCTTCTTCATCATTAACCATTTTCAGTATAAACCATCATCAGCAGCAGCAGCAGCATCATCAGCATCATCTTCTTCATCGTCTAGAAGTTTTTGTGCGAAAAAAAGGTTTCTGTGTAAACGCGCTTATGTGCAAAAGTGTCTGTGCATAGAAGCTGTTGGGTGTAAAAGTTTTTTGTGTGTGTGTACAAGGTTTCTGTGTGTAGAAGCGTCTATGTGCCAAGTGTTCTGTGAGTGTAGAAGCGTATGTTTATATTTGTTTTTTGTGTGTAAAGGGTTTCTGTGTGTAAAAGGGTTCTGTATGTAAAACCTTTTTGTGTGCAAACCTTTTTGTGTGTAAACCCGTTTTGTGTACCAAAAATATAATGTGTAAAAGTTTTCTGTGTGAAAAGGATCTGTATGTAAAAAAAAATGTGAATGAAAAACTTGTGTGTGTGTAAAAGATGTGTGTGTGTGTGCGTACAAGTTTTTGTTTGTAAAGGCTTTTGTGCATCATATCATCATCGTCATCGTCATTGCTATCATCATCACCATCAAAGCATTACGGTTTTCGGGCCACACCGTTGTCTGCCAGGATGGTCCCCAGCACGTCTAGTCCGTGGCTCCCGACCATCCAGTGATTCATGCAGATTTTGCTGTCGCTGCGGAAAGCGAGCCTGGCCATCAAAGAATGGGGCTGAGGGGTAGACCATCGTACTAAATTAGAGGCTACACTAAGAGTACCCTCTACCCGGCTATTGTAGATTTTGCCCTCGGTTTCGGAAATTGGAATGATCCTTGAAGTTTGTAGACTATGAGGAGATGAGTGTACTATCACTTACAATTGTGCTTGCAAGAATCACGTTTCACTGCTAGTTGAAAGTATAGGATCGATATTTTTTGATAGACAAACATGGATAGATGTGTGTATATATATACACATAGTGTATATATAGTGTGTATATACATATACATATACATATACGTATACGTATACATATGCATATACGTATACGTATACATATACATACACATACACATACACATACACACACATACATACATACATACCTACCTACCTACCTACCTACCTACATACATACATACATACACACATACACACATACATACATACATACATACATAACATACATAACATACATAACATACATAACATACATAACATACATAACATACATAACATACATACATACATAACATACATAACATACATAATATACATAGCATACATAGCATACATAACATACATAACATACATAACATACATAACATACATAACATACATAACATAACATACATAACATACATAACATACATAACATACATAACATACATAACATACATAACATACATAACATATATATATATACATACATACATACATGCATTACATACATTACATACATTACATACATTACATTACATTACATTACATTACATTACATTACATTACATTACATTTACATTACATTTACATTACATTACATTACATTTACATTACATTTACATTACATACATACATACATACAAATGTGTATATATATATATAGTATATAGATAGGCAAATCTATAAATCACAGATTTATATCCATGGGATGGCGGACCCATGAGGCCTGGCGTTGTTATCCAGCAGTTCACAGCCTTGTTGGTCAACTCCCATAGCCACCAGTTGGATCCCTGACGGAAAATGGCTCGTTGTTCGGGAAGAAAATCAGTTCCAGCCCCAACTAGATTTATGGTAAATATAGCTGTTCATGGGTTTTATAAACTAATTTATAACTGGGGGGGGCACCACCTTGTAGATTCAGAAGAGTCTTACTTGGAAAACTAATAAAAATTAGGTGTTTTTGCTTGGCATTTGAAGATATTTCAAGTCTCGTCGAGACTGGGGAGCCTTGAAATATAGCCCTCGACCAGATCTCTGAAGCACTTGACCCAGTGGCAATTGCTGTTATGGACCCAAAAGAAACTACTTTGGAGGCAAATGTTGCTTCGAAATATGCTTAATCATGCTTACAACCTAGAAAACCAAGTTGATCATGGGGAATAGTTGTACCCCGATTCACTATCTTGTTGATACCACTTCAAAAATCGCCCCCGAAGACCGCGGCTGTACTTGCAGTTGTGATATGGCGATGGATCAGAACAGGATGTCAAGAACATGATGCGTCGCTGCAATACAAAGAAGTGCACAACAGCAAATTATTCGTCGACGAAGAGAGATGTGGTTCTGATGGCTTAGAAAAAAATCAAGTTTGATCACTGGGACCCACTAAGCCTCGAAAACCAGTTGGGATTACAACGACAGGAGTGATAAAATTCAAAAAAAGACATGTAATATCCCGACGTCTTGCTGCTCGAATTCTTGCTGTGTTCTTTGCTTTCATCGAGATGGTTCATCGCCTTTTACCCCCCTGTCTTAGTCTTCGTGGTTTTTCTCTCTGTTTCACTGGATGAAAACCCGATGGTTTGTGGGTGAGTTTCCCATTGCCGTGGCCAAAGTTCTCTTTCCCATCACCCCGTCGCTTCCCGCGCCTTCCCAGCTAGCGGCCTGATGACAAAGCTTCCAGAAGTGTCGACACACGACACTCGAACTGGCCGCGACAACTCTCAGTCAAGTTCTCCGGGTCACCATTGGGTCACCATCCCATGGTTAATAAAAGAGGGAATAATAAATTGTTAATAGCAATGATAATACTAAGGGAATAATTAATGAATTATTGGTTGTGGAAATCACGGCCATTGGCAATGGTCATTTTTGCAACTCAAATTGGGACACAAAAAACGATTGAAACCCAAGGATTTCCCCAGTACATCTGGGGTAATGAACCAAACAAATAGTTGTAGACGGGTATACTGGTCGTTGATTTTTTGCTACCATCCAACCATCCATTTTTGGGCGTGATAATTTTGACCCATCCACATATGAAATGTTCCCTCTTACATCGAAAAAATCTGGGCAACTGTTGGTCAGCCATAAACGGGATAATAGTCAACCTCAGTGAAGGACAAGTTCATATCTAAGGAACATACAAAATGATCCCCAAATAATCATGCCAATTAAAATGCGAAAAGCAAATGCATAATGTGTATGTGGTGATTCATTCATGTATATATAAATATGTGATATATATATATGTATATATATATGTATATATATATATGTATATGTATATATGTATATATATATTATTAAATATGATATATAGGTATAATGTATGAAAACTATACATATATACATATATGTATATATTTATACATTATCTTCAAATTTTGTTTTACATACTATATATGTATGTATGTTTGTATGTATGTATGTATGTATGACATTGCTAGTCAGTGATCCCCGCCTGTTGACGAAGACTCATGCTTGCAAACCCAAAGCAGACATTATATCAATGCAGTGTCAAGAAGTCAATCGCATGATCACTTCTCATACATATTATTCTGTTTGCATACCGTCCAAACACAAGAAATCTTGCACTGGTAGTAAATATGTTACGACGCGTCCGTTTTTTTGCACCGCTATATCACAGCAACTACTCCACGGGCGCGTCGCCCAACCATGCGGGTCCAACCCATATTTTGGCCGGGCCCTCACAGGTGGCATTCAGTGGCTCAAAGGAATGTGCTCCAACGGCCTTGCGGGCATAAAGGTGGATGTTTTGATGTCAGACGATATCTGTCAACCCTTGTTCGTCTACCAAGCCCTGCCTCGCAAAGCTGTTCCAACGACGCCCGTGGAAGCAGCTGCGCCGAGCAACGAAGATACACCACCAGGACCAGGTCTCGATGCTGACCCCAGAAGACCTGGCAGACAGTGAAGGCGTATGCAGCACATCCAGCAGGTGTGAGCACAAACGCGTCACCGACCCGAGCCTTGGCCTTCCAGGCATGTTCAAGGACAGGCTTCATGGCATCCATCCAGTTGAAATGCATCGGCAGGTCCTACCGGTGCCATGTGCATCAAGCAAGGTGGTTCAAGTTCCCTGTCCCGTGCCTGGGGCAAGAGAACAAGCTTCTCATCATCTTCATCGATGTAGCGCTCGCCCATGTCATAGAAAAGGGTACCCTGCAGTGGAAACCAGGTTTTGACATGCAATGCATTGACGCAAGATATGACACCGTGCCTGCAAGCATGGTAGTCCGAGCAGCTCCTCATTGAAGGCCACCCAGTACTTGCGCTCTGTGACAAAGTGGTGTGTGAAAGATGGGTGCCTCCATGTCCAGCCGTCGCTGGATTGCCGACAGAGATGAAAGGATCTCTTCGACCTGGGCTCCACCTAACATCACAGACGCCCACACAACCACGACAGGTATAAAAGCATCACGCCTTCTCACTCCATTGTATCAAACCAAGGCCCGCACCGCCCGTCGCCATAGCTCCACGAATACAGGCAGAAGAATGGCATGAAGCCCATTCATCTTGACCTGGGCAAAACCAAGCGTATATCACCCAGAACACAGGATATTTTAGTAGACAGCAGGATATGATGAAAAGCATCATTTGCACAACAGATTCTCTGTTTTTTCTGGCAGTCAAGGTTGCTGCCGCTCGTTGGCAGTCTTCGTGCTCAACCATGGCAGTCCAAGGCACAGACAGGGATGATGTTACCCCAGTATACCTGGTCAAAAGAAGTTTCAGCGGGACAAGTCACCACAGTATTAGACAGCTTCGCTGAGCCTGTATGGGTGTGTGTGTGTGCATGTGTTGTCATGCCTGTTGCAAATGTTGGTAGTTAGCTTGACTCAGCGATATGCTCGCGCGTACAAGATTCACATGCAACAGTCCACATCTCCCATTGTGAGGCATCCAGCCCCTCATGGCAAACCACCAACATTGATGCCAAGAAAACAGGTGCTGGTTTTCTTGACACTGATGACCACAAACCAGCAATGCTGCGATAGGCTCAACAAAAATTGTTCCGAAATAATTGTTTGGCACCTTACCCCTTGTTGGAAAATTATTTTGATGGGGTCCGACCACGGTAAAATATTGTTCAGCCCCGGAAATATTTTTGCATAGTTTGACCTATGCCAGAAGTATATGGTTCTTGCATGAAAATGATAATTATTTCTGAAAAATTATTTTGGTATGTCACCCACCCCCCACAAATATCTTTCTGCCTTGCCCACTGCTGTACACACAAACACTAACTGCTTTGCTCACTGCTGTACACACAAACACTAGCTGCAATGGAGTATAATTACCAGTAGTACCGTACAAGGCGGCGGCGGAAGTTTCAAAAATAGGAAACCTATAGGGGAGGTTGGTTGTTGTGAATCACGGATGGCAGAGCGAAGCCACTGATGAACCGAAAGGTGGTTGAGGTCTCCCCTCTTTCTCTCTCTTTCTCTCTCTTTCTCTCTCTTTCTCTCTCTTTCTCTCTCTTTCTCTCTCTTTCTCTGACTATCTACCTACCTACCTACCTACCTATCGATCTATCTACCTATCTATCCATCCATCCATCCATCTATCTATCTATCTCTCTGTCTGTCTGCCTGTCTATCTGTCTATCTGCAAGCTTGAAAACGAAGCAATTCAGCGTGACTTCCTCAGTTTTTGAACTTGACAACATCAAAAACGCAGAAATTCAGCGAGACTTCCTCAATTTTTGCATTTGACAACGTCAAAAACGAAGCAATTCTGCGAGACTTCCCCATTTTTTAAGTTGACAATGACAACATCAAAAAGCGAAGCAATTCTGCAAGACTTCCTATTTGCTTTAAGGTTCACAACATCAAAAACGAAGCAATTCTGCGAGACGTCCTTCAAAAATGGAAAGTTGAGTGCAGAGCTGACGGCCTGGTACCAATGCGTTTCGTGATTTTGCCAGTCCACCTGTCTAAAGTACTGCGCCTGCCACGAAAAAGTGACACCGGGTCATACGAAGTGCTGCACCTGTCACGCAAAATCATCTCAGCAAACCTGAAGATCTGATGCTCCAAAATGCAACCTCTCTCAGGAAATCAGCGCCCGGACCTCCTAACAGCTCTGATAAACATGTCTCTTGTACTGCACCTGCCAGGGAAAATGCATCTTTGCAGATCCTCTTCAAATGTCCCACGCCTGCCATTGTTTTTGGACATGCTACAAAACCCTCACGTTTTGCTCACTTTTGACAAGGTGCACAATCCCTTGCACCTGCCACGCAAAACAACATCTGAACGTCCAAAAGTGGTCCGAACCCCTGGTGCTTTGTACATTTTGACTTCGAAATGTGCTTCACGCCACAACGGCGTGCACTTTTTCGACATCTCAACTGCCAAAAGTGGTCCGGACCTGGTGTGTTTTGTACATTTTGACTTCGAAATGTGCTTCGCGCCACAACGGCGTGCAATTTTTTATCTCTCATCTGGCCAGCTGGCTCCGCACCCGCCGCTTTAGCGAGCCTACTTTTCGACCCTCTGGAGGCACAAATCATTTGAAAAACACCGTGTTTCGTGACTTTCCTACCTTTTCGCGCACCTGCATCTTCTTTGTTCTGACTCTTTCTCTTTGCTGATCTTCTCTCTTCTTCTCTTCTCTTCTCTTCTCTATTCTTCTGCTCCACCTCTGCTTTTCATCTGTCCTTATTGTCGGAAGTTTGACTTCTAAACTTCCTTCGCTTATGCGCACACGGATATATAGCGACTTCACACATCGTTCATTCACACTATTGCAGCTTCGGGTCAAACAGCAAGCAGCTACAGCCCCTTTCTCAATCCAAAAACAGATGCTGGTGGTTTATTGCGGCCACCCCTGGCACCAAGCCTCAGCCGATGCAGAACTTGTGCTGGTCCCACTCGGTGCCGGTGAACAGGCTGCTGATGAGGCGGCCGGCGAGCACGTCGTAGGGCATGATGAGCGTAGGAGCATTGAGATTATGTTTGCAGTAGTTGTTCTCCTTCTTACTACAGCTCACCACAAAGGTTGCCTTGTTGCCCCTGCTCCCGTCGCAGCAGTCCCGCGTATCATAGTCTGCCGGATCGTGCTCAATGTCCGCTACCAGGCGCGCTCCGTCCATTTTTTTTCGTAGATTCTGGTGCAAATCCTCCCGGATGTTCTTGCGCAGCCATTCTTCTGCTTCGCCCTCCATGATGCTTGCCTCCTCTTCCTCCTCCTCCATCTCATTGTCCCCATTTTGCCCTCTCGCCAGCTCACGAAGACGGCGTAGTCCTTCTTGAAAGTCTCCATCTCCTGCAGGCATGCGAAGCAATCTTCCTTGCTGTAACAACGGGTCCTGGTCGAACGGAGCATCTTTCCAAACTTCTCTTCGGCCGCTTCATCCACGAAGGCAATGCTGCGCTTCATGGCGATTGCGCTTCAAGAAGCGAAGCTACGCGCGAGAAAATAATTCAACCAAGCCATGGGCCACTGTGTATATCACGCTGATTGGTAATCTAGCAGGTCATGTAATGAATCATGTATATTATGCGAATCGATAATCTAGCATATGCTAGTGCTGCTCATGCGATCGTCATATTATACATTATATTGTAAATATTATATTATATTATATTATAT